ATTACTACTACTACATCAAGTAAAGTTGTACTGCTGAGCAGCTGTTAGCTCTGCTCCTCGTTTCTGCTTTGTTTCGTTTTATTTAATTTCATTTCTTCCGTGTTTCTTACGTACACACTGAACTAACGGTCGCTTTATCCAATGATTTATATCAAATAAACTTCCTGGATATTTCGTCACTTTTCCCGCATTTTTTTTTTTTTTTTAGAAAAATCCCAATTTTTTCCACTAAAAGTAAGATGTACACGGTAAAAAGTCAATAATTTAGAGTAAAAGTGACTCTGTTTACAAATTTCAATGAACGATTTACGTTATCAACGTGAAGACTGTTCTGTCATGTATAGTCTCTGTACATGGATTGACTCCCCATCCTGGCAAGTCTCGCAAGATCAGGTCGCTCAAAAACAAACGAAAGCCAGCAGCTTCAAATTTAATACTTTGCAAGAAAAAACAAACTTCTGACCCAGAGGTTACCCACTGAATTGAGATTTCCAAAGTTGTTTACTTTTCTTAAAAGTTGGAAAAATTGTGTCAGTGTTCATACGTAAGACCTTCCAGCACAACAGCTGGGAGTTGGTTTCCGTGTAGTAAGCTTACTGTAAGTCAGCTTATTCTAGAGCGCAAAAACAGCCACCAGAAGCATACACTGACAAATCACACATGATAATAAACTAATAATTATATTAGTGAAGAGAGTGTCAAGTCGATCCTATACTGTACCATAACGATGGGATGGATAAATATCTGAAAACTAGTCTTTCATACACTTAGAAATTATATACACCAGGGAACTGCGCTTCTCTCTCTAAGTGTGTGTGTTATATATATATATATATAATATATATATATAATATATATATATATATATAATATATATATATATATATATATATATATATAATATATACACCAGAGGTGGACCCCATATATATATATATATATATTATATATATATATATATATATATATATATATATATATATATATATATATATATATATAAGAATACTGTGTATATCTCATATTGTATACGTAAGGAGAATTTTGTGTAAATGCATATACAGAGGTTTGAATTCAAATGTACTATATATAATAGCTAATTTTATATGCATCTTAGAGATTAAATCATCCCTGGTGTTACTATCTGGGTGGATTACACCCTAAAAAATCCTTGAGTAGTCGTTAGGCCCCTTAACCTAAAAAAACTAAAAGCACTAAATAAAAACATAAGAAAGAAGAAATAGTGCAGCAGGCCTACTGGCCTATGCGAGGCAGGTCCAATTCTCCTACCGGGTTCAGCCAATGCCTTGACCTAGTCAGGTTAGTCACGTCACTGAAGGGAGGAGCACGGCATCCGACCTAGTTGCACAAGCTAGTCAGGTCCAACTCACACCCACCCACACCCACTCATGTATTTATCCAACTTATTTTTAAAACTACATAACGTCTTAGCTTCTATGACGGTACTTGGAAGTTTGTTTCACTCATCCACAACTCTATTACCAAACCAGTGCTTTCCTATATCCTTCCTGAATCTGAATTTTTCCAATTTAAAACCATTGCTGCGAGTCTTGTCTATGTTAGACATTTTTAGCACGTTATTTACATCCCTTTATTAATTCCTGTTTTCCATTTATACACTTTAGTCATATCTCTCCTAATTCTATGCCTTTCTATAGAGTGCAGATTCAGGGCTCTCAGCCTATCCTCATAGGAAAGATTTCTGATACATGGGATCAACTTTGTCATCTTCCTTTGTACGTTTTCCAGTGCGTTTATGTCCATTCTGTAATACGGCGACCAAAACTGAGCAGTATAATCTAAATGAGGCCTAACCAAAGATATATAGAGTTGAAAAACAACCTGGGGACTTCCATTATTTATACTTCTTGCTATAAAACCAAGGATTCTGTTAGCTTTATTATAAACGCTTATGCACAGTTGTCTTGGTTTCAGATTACTGCTAACCAGAACTCCTAAATCCTTTTCGCAATCAGTAATATTAAGATCTACATTATTTAGTTTATATGTGGCATGGTTATTATATTATTATATTATATTAAACTGCATCTGCCACTTCTCCGACCATTGCATCAGTCTATTCAAATCATCCCGGAGTGCTCTAATGTCCTCATTAGAATGAATTGGACGGCCTATTTTGGTGTCATCAGCAAATTTGCTTATGTCGCTATTTATTCCCTCATCTATGTCGTTTATGTAGATTGTGAACAACAAGAGGCCCAACACTCACCCCTGTGGAACACAGCTTGTGACGTGGCCCCATTCTGATTTCTCCCCATTTATGCAAGCTCTCTGCTGCCTATTTGTCAACCATGCCTCAACCCAGAAAAAACTTCTATTCAGTGTGCCTTACGTTTCCTCAATAGCCTCTGATGTGGAACTCTATGGAAAGCCTTACTGAAGTCCATATACACAATATCATATTCAATACCATGATCTACCTCCTCAAATACCTTAGTGAAGAAAGTTAGTAAATTCTTAAGACAGGAACGCCCCTTTGTAAAACCTTGTTGAGATTCATTAGTCAATTTATGCCATTCAAGATGGCTACGAATTGCTTCGGCAATTATTGTTTCCATAAATTTACCAACTATGGAGGTAAGGCTTATTGGTCTATAGTTCGAAGCTAAGGACCTGTCTCCTGCCTTGTAAATAGGTATTACATTTGTCATTTTCCACTATGGAGGTTGTAGTGATATATTGAAAAGATTAGCCAAAGGTGTGCTAAGTTCCTCTTTACATTCCTTTAAAACCCTTGCAAACAGTTCATCAGGGCCTGGGGATCTGTTAGGTTTTAATTCCTCTATTTGTCTGAGAACCATGTCACTAGTTACCCTAATCGTGCATAGTTTATTATCGTCCTGTTTTACATAATTTATTTCTGGAATTTCGCTAGCATCTTCTTGAGTAAAAACTGAGAGGAAGTAAGTATTAAAAATTTCACACATTTCCTTATCATTGTCAGTGATCTGACCAGAGTTACTCTTAAGTGGGCCTATCTTTTCCATAAACTTACTTCTGTATATCTGAAAAAACCCTTTTTGGTTAGTCGTCGAATCCCTTGTGACTTTAGCCTCATAATCGCTTTTTGCTTTTCTTATTCCTTTTTTTTCTTTCTTTAACTGAATATATTGATTTCTTAACTGCCCATCCCCTCTTTTGGTACGCCTATATGTGCCTCTCTTTTGACCAATGAGACGTTTTAATCTATTGTTTATCTCTACTCGGGACAAAAGTCGTCTGGGCAGCCAGAACTATGCTCTGAAATCCGCCATATTGGCAACCAACCCTACCTACCTGACACACAGTAAGGTCATCCCAATTTAGCCCACCCAGGTAATTTCTCATTCCCATGAAATCGGCCAAGTGGAAATCTGGGACAGCGACTTGACAGTTATCTGGGTAATTCCATGATATATTGAAAAAGTGATTTGTGATTGCTTTTCCCTAGCTCATCGCTAACCTCAAGATTATTAACTAGTGATTCTTGTTGGCAAGAATCAGGTCAAACAGACTGTTTCCCCTAGTTGGTTCTGTCACAAACTGTTTTAAAAAGCAGTCTTGAACCGTATCAAGAAAGTCACTAGACTCAAGATTTTCTGTCACACTGCTCCAATTTGTTTCAAGTTAAAAATCTCCAATTAACACAACATTTTCATATCTAGACGCCTTATAAATTTCGTCCCATAGCAGCCTACCGCACTCCCTACCAAGGTTTGGGGGCCTATAAATCACTCCCAAAATCAATTTTTCACGACCTTCGAGAAACTGTAGCCAAACAAATTCTGAGTTCGATGTTTCTAATCTTACATCTTGTCCAACACAACAACTGATTGCGAAAAGGATTTGGGAATTTCTGGTTAGCAGTAATCTAAAACCAAGACAACAGTGCATAAGTGTTCCCAATAAAGCGAATAGAATCTTTGGCATCATATCAAAAAGCATAAATATTAGGAGTCCTCAGGTTGTTCTTCAACTCTAGGCCTCATCTAGATTATGCTGCACAGTTTTGGTCACCGTATTACAGAATGGATATAAATGCACTGCAAGACGTACAGAGGAGGATGACAAAGTTGATCCCATGTATCAGAAATCTTCTCGATGAGGATAGACTGAGGCCCTGAATCTGCACTCTCTAGAAAGGCGTAGAATTAGGGGGGATATGATTCAGGTGTATACATGGAAGACAGGAATAAATAAAGGGGATGTAAATAGCGTGCTAAAAATATCTAGCCTGGACAGGACTCGCAGCAGTGGCTAAGCTGGAAAAATTCAGATTCAGTAAGGATATAGGAAAGTAGTGGTTTGGTAATAGAGTTGTCGATGAGTGGAACAAACTCCCCAGTACAGTTATAGAGGCTAAAATGTTGTGTAGTTTTAAAAATAGGCTAGATAAATACATGAGTGGGTGCAGGTGGGTGTGAGCTGGACCTGACTAGCTTGTGCTACTAGGTCAGAGGCCTTGTTTCGTTAGGTGAATGTGACCTGACCTGACCTGACTAGGTTGGGGCACTGGCTTAAGCCGGTAGGAGACTTGAACCTGCCTCGCATGGGCCAGTAGGCCTCCTGCAGTATTCCTTCTTTCTGTTCTTATAACCCAGTATGTTGCATTTCTCTATCTTTCAAGTTGAACCAGGTCTCTGTTATAGCAATAATATCTATATTACCTGCACTTGCAAGTAATCTTAGCTCATTTATCTTATTTCTTAGACTCCTACTATTTGTATAGTAAACTTTAAGGGAGCTACTCACTTGTTGCCCTCTATAATCTCTCTTTGTTTGTTGAGTAATTGCTTTGCCTTCACTAGCAACTTATTTATTTCGAATATTGTCTTTTAAACATATCCCTGGGGCATCCTGGTAATATCTAATGTTTTCAACCCTAATACTGCAGCCTGACTGCAAAACACACACAAACAAACATCAAAATATAAGACTGGGGTGAGATTTAGAAAATGAAAAAGTTAGGTAGCAGTTACCTTATCACGACTCTTCCTCTTGGTCGATGCGCGCTTCTTAGGAGACTTCCTGAGTGAGGACTTGAAGGAGCCGCGTCGGGGAAGCTTCACAATCCAAGACGGAGGCACGATGATACTGGCATGCAACCCTGCAGGGAGATCAGAGAGAACACGGTTAACTCAAATAAGGAGAGCACTAGTGTCTGGATAGGAAATAGTCTAAGGAGACAACTACTGTCTGAGACACTAGTACAGGTACCTGTGAGGTAGGTATCTGTGAGGCAGGAACCTGTAAGCAGGTTTATCTCTGAAGAGAGATCCTGAGTTAGGTTACATTCAATCTAATTTTACTGATACAACAAGCCTTTATCTTAATAACAGACAGTATTTAACTATTGCAAAGACAGTCAAATGGCTGTTTAACGATCCTTGTGCAAAAATGGTATACAATACCGACAAGATGAAATTAAGACACATGTGCAACATCTGGGTATCTTTATTGTAGACGTTTCGCCATCCAGTGGCTTTATCAAGTTATGTCCTGGAATTTGTATTGATAAAGCCACTGGATGGCGAAACGTCTACAATAAAGATACCCAGATGTTGCACATGTGTCTTAATTTCAACGATCCTTAAACAGTAATTATCTGATTTAGTTCCAGTGCGCTCAGTGGGTCTACATTTCCGTTCGTGTCAAAAATTCTTATCAGCGTAGGTTGTTGTTAAAGATTCGCCGGCATTCTCCCGGCCCGGGCCCTTCCAAGTGGTGGCCCGGCACTGGCTCCCTGTCTAGGGAGTGTCTGAGACCTAAGTCTCCCATGGGAGGAGGCACAAGTACCCCCCTCATCTTGTGAGCTACAAACTCGGGCTCTGGCTAGCGCTGTGCTTTCCAGTGTGGAGTGTCGTGTGTTGGTGTTCATTTTCATTCATTCATTCATGTTTAATCGCCGGTACTTCCGGCCTGGGTCTTCTCCAGATGGTGACCCGGCAGTGGCCCCCCCCGGGTGGGGGGTGACGATCATCATCTTTCTTGGCCCTCCGGTTGGAGGGTGTCGTCGTCTTCTATCTCGCGCCGACTTCCCCGAAGAGACGCACAGTCGGGCAGAGGCAGCAGTTACAGGGTCGATTGGAGCCACACCCCAGCTTTAGCGGACAGCAAAGTGCTGGGGAAACTTATCTTCATGGTGAATGGTCATGGATAGTCGTGCTAGAGGAGGGTACCGTCTTCAAGGTCCCCATTCTGAAGCATCCTGAATTTCCTCTTTGAGGTGTACTCGACTTCCACAAGGTGTTGGGTGTTGGCAGTGAGTAGTCTGGTCATGTCTGCAGTGGTGTATGTAACAGTTTGGTCGTAGGTATACTTGACTGTTCCGTCCTGGAGGTGCTGATGGATTTCTGAAGACAGCATTCTGTTCTTATACTGCTTGGTTGTGTAGAAGCATACACCCTTCAGGCATCGGACTTGTTGTGGTGCAGCAGTGTCAGTGGCACCGTGAGGTGCATCCGCAGTTTCTTGAGTTTTTGCTTTCTTGGCTGGTGGCTGAACTGGTGAAGGCGAGATTTCCGACTGGTCAGTTGCTCTAGCAGTGGATGCAAGCGGTAGTGGACTCTCATTGGTGGGGTTTGCCGACGTCTCAGTGGTCTCTGATTGGTCCATCTGTGTCTAGTGGAGGTTGTGACAGCGGTGGAGCAGCGGTGATGCTGGTAATATTTGCAGTAGATTTTAGGATCTCAGTAGAAGGTGGTGATGCAGGGAATGTGAGGCCAGGCATATTATTTAGTTTGAAAAGTTCATTGATGGTGGTGTTGAAGGAACCAGGCTCAGCTGCATTCTGTACATGACATACATAATGCAATAAAGAATCTTGGTGGAGTCGGCAGTAGGTGGTGGCAGGGAAGTGGTGGGAGCAGCTTGCGTGGCTTGTAGTATCTTGGTAGTGTCTGCTTGAAGCTTGGCGATAGCAGAATATGTGGTTGCTTGTGGGTTGGGTTTCTTTTGTTGTTGTTGTTTCTTTATCTCTTCTGGTAGGGCACCTGGCAGCAAGAGTATGGTGGCCATTCTTGCAGTTCAAGCATTTAGGTGGTGAAGCAGTAGTGCAATTCTTGAAGTCATGACCCTCACGGCCACAGGTGGAGCAGAACTTCTTGTCCTTGGTAGGACAATCATTTGTGGTGTGTAAGTATGAGTAACAATTATAGCACTGTGAGATATGTCGGAATTTCTCTGCTTCGATGAAGGCTGGGTTGATGTGGAAGTAGTGAATAGCCAGGCCCTCAGCGAGAGCTCTGGCTGCCATGTTGACGTCACTGAAGGTGACCTTCAGCATGGATGAAGCATTGGGTATTTTAGTAATGAAGTCCACCTTGGCCCAAGGGTTCTTTGCTTCGATAGATGACTTGATTTCTTCAGTGGCCTGTACAGTGATAAGGTTGTCGAGTCGCTTGAGGAACACAGTTCTCCTGGCCCTCAGTGCTGGGGAAGTCAAGACAAGAAATCCCTGGTCTCGTAGAGTGGTAATAGCAGTAGTGGTAAGTAGTTTATCAGCCTCTGTGTCGTCTGTACAGACGACAACAAAGGCCTCCTTGAGCGATAAAATCGCATTACATTTGACTTGCAGCCTGCCACTAACGACAGCTGCAAGTGCTAGTTTGGACGACTCATTGGTTGTGCCACTCGCTGGTTTGATCTTTACTCTGTTAGAGTAATGCATCGTGAGTAAGCAGTGCTCTGGTGTGTAGGTTAAGGCGTTTATCATATTAATAGTATACAATACTGACAGCTGAACTGTCAGGTGAACTAAGTATTATGAGGTCACCTGATGGCTGAGTCCCAAAGTGGTGGTCCTCACAGGAGGTGAAACGATGCGCGTTCATAAAAACATTAGAATGGAGGAACACTGCAGCAGGCCTACTGGCCTATACAAAACCACCCATCTCCACCCACGTATTTGTCCAACCTTTAACCAAAGCTATTCGATAATTTGCTTCAATAAGGAAGTTTATCAACTTGGCAGCAATGCTTTAAGTACCAACATGCTTCATGTTGGGTGTGTTGAACAATAAACCTGTAGATACCATATACCAGTGTGCTGCCAGTCTCCAACACGTTAAAAAACTCTTTCATTAAAACATGAAAACTACGAGCGAGAGAGAGAGAGAGATTAACATAAGAGACATGTGTTACGACACTACAGGAAGAGGGGAAAGATAAATGATACAATACAGTTGGAGGGGTCACACATACAAGGGTTATTATGCACACCTTGTGCATACATATACTCACTAGATTTTGCTCAATATTACTCCTGCAATTATATCATAACAATAGTAACATATATATGTGTACGTATGTGTGTGGCGGGGAAGGACAGTAGGGTAGCGGTGCTGATGTGGCCAGTATTAAGGCTTAATGACTAGGGTAAAATTAGTTGAGTGTACTTGAATCATAAAGAGAGAGAGGACTGTGTTGAATAGTCTCCTCTTTGACTTTATGTCAGGAACACCAGGAAAGTGAGATAATGAGGACAGGGAAATGATGAAAAAGAGAAGAAATAAGATAAGAAAAGAAAATGAAGAGAGGAAGAGGTGTGAGAGGAACAGGAGGGAATATATTGAAGGATCCATCAACTCCATATGAAAACCTTCACATCATTTTTAGAAAAATTCTCATCCATTACGGCCTTAAAGATGTTCTTTACACCGAACTTTCTTTTTAAACTTCCTTGACTTATTTATTAGATATTTAAAATTAATACAAATTTTTATCTCCAAATTTAAGATTATAGTTATTTTTTGACTATTAGTAGCCATTTTAAGTAAGGATCCTGGTCTCTCGTGTTGCGCAAAACCAAAATTAGATCAGTAAACTTGTTATAATTGTAATATTAAATATAGTGGAAGCGCTTTTTGAAAATTTCAAACTATAGTTTGAAAGTAGAAAAGTTTATTATACAAGACTGACAGACTTGCCAAACTACTACTCTTCAGGAACAAGACTGCAGTCCAAGAGTAGACATCACAGTGTGTGCAGATTTAAAAATCTAGCTAAGGTGCAGAATGAACTATATTTGAGAATTTTGGAAAGCCTGACAAGTCCCAATATATTATATATATATATTCTATATAAATATTTATATATATATATAATATATATATATATAATATTATTAAAATTTGGGATATTGGCAGTTTGGAGGGATATGTTGTGTATCTTTATACGTATATGCTTCTAACCTGTTGTGTTCTGAGCACCTCTGCAAAAACAGTGATTACGTGTGAGTGAGATGAAAGTGTTGAATGATGAAAGTATTTTCTTTTTGGGGATTTATATATATATAATATATATATAATATATAATATATATATTATATATTATATATATATATATATATATATATATATATATATATATATATATATATATATATATTATATTATATATAGGTAGTAGGTTGGTAGACAGCAACCACCCAGGGAAGTACTACCGTCCTGCCAGATGACTGTGAAACAGAAACCTGTAACTGTTTTGCATGATGGTAGGATTGCTGTTTTCTTTTTCTGTCTCATAAACACGCTAGATAACAGGGATATCTTGCTACTCCTACTTACACTTTGGTCACACTTCACAGACACGCACATGCATATATATATATACATTCATCTAGGTTTTTCTCCTTTTTCTAAATAGCTCTTGTTCTTCTTTATTTTTCTTCATAGTTGTCCATGCGTGTCGTATGAGGCGACTAAAATGCCGGGAGCAATGGGCTAGTAACCCCATCTCCTGTAGACATTTACTAAAAAAAGAGAAGAAGAAAAACTTTATAAAACTGGGATGCTTAAATGTGCGTGGATGTAGTGCGGATGACAAGAAACAGATGATTGCTGATGTTATGAATGAAAAGAAGTTGGATGTCCTGGCCCTAAGCGAAACAAAGCTGAAGGGGGTAGGGGAGTTTCAGTGGGGGGAAATAAATGGGATTAAATCTGGAGTATCTGAGAGAGTTAGAGCAAAGGAAGGGGTAGCAGTAATGTTGAATGATCAGTTATGGAAGGAGAAAAGAGAATATGAATGTGTAAATGCAAGAATTATGTGGATTACAGCAAAGGTTGGATGCGAGAAGTGGGTCATAATAAGCGTGTATGCACCTGG